AAATTTCATCCTCGGTCACTCAAAAAACCGGAAACTTAAGTCAATACCTGCAAGACATCCCTTGTGAGATGAAGCAAGAGACTATCCAGTGTGGGAGATGGAAGATCGGGCAAAGTAGTCGCACCTAAGTTTCATGCACATTTTTTCTTGGCATAGATTATGGGCAAAGTTTCACTCGATATTAATCTTCTTGGCATCATCAAGCCATTCACCTAACGCCATCACGGTAGGAGGGGTTTGTCACGGCCGCTTCACACCTTCATGAAAGGAAACTGCCGCATACAGTAAAAAACAGTACCATGGCATCAATGATATAGAAACATAAACTAAGCAATCGTACATCCTTAATACATGGATACTAAACATAAAGATAATGGTATGGCAGTCCATGTGAATGAACTAATTAATTGGGCGACAGCCACCGGAGAACAACCCATTACTCATATATACATAATCTCTTAATATCACACACACTTAGGTTAGGAGTAGCAAAACAAAGAACAGCTAAAAGAATGAGAAAACTATTTCTTTCAAGCACGTGAACACGCTGTATCACACACCACGGTCATTCTTATGGGTTGAACATCAGGAAGACTCAGTCCTCGGTTCTAATGACCGCCCGACACCTGGATCGATCGGCCCTCGGTTCACCCGCATCTGGCGCTTCCGCTTGATCCCCTCAAGCTAGATTCCCTCGCGAGTGGCACGAGGCGGTCGCCCACTTCGCCTGAATTGAGCGGACGCAGCATCCGCCTTGGTTAGGGTTAGCGAGCACACCAATCGCCCGAGATCGATCGGTTCGATGCTTTTTGGACCGCTCATGGAATGCTCCCTTGCTATATGGGCTGTTTGGCCCAATTAACCAGATTAGTCAGAAAAAGTTACGGGAATAGCTGCCCTCACCAAGATGCGACCTGCGGGGTCGGGAGCTTTGCATCCATCGGCTAGAGACGACCATAATGTGAAATCAGATCTGAAGGCTCCGAAGGCTGATAGCGTGAGGGAGCTCCTAGGGTGCGGAGATCGGCGGACGCCGCGGGCGGGGGTGGGGGGTAGGGGTACCTTGAGGTGTCCGGCGTACTGGTGGCATAGGGAATCCGGGTCATGATGGGGACGCAGGATCTCGCCGGCTTCAGCGCCGGGACGGCGGCGGTACACCACCAGTTTGGCCGTCGGTAGAGAAAACGAGAGGTCGGGGAGGAGGTCTCCTGAGGGAGGGGAGCGCTCAGGGGAGGAGGTCTCCTGAGGTAGAGCAGAAAGAAAATATGCCCGTCGGGATTAACCAGATGAGCAACGGACCTGGCGGCGGTGCACACATCGTGGGAGAGAGATGAGAGGTCGGGGAGAGGGGACATCTTTCTTCTCTGCATCGAGCCCCTCGAGCGAGTGGCTTAGCGGCCTGTACGTAAATGGGCTTGCAGACCGTCAAAGCCCAATCAACCACAGGCATTCAAAAAAGTTTCCAGAATAGCGGCCTGTTAGGACAGTCAGCCCACTTCACGGTAAACTACTGCTTAGACATAGATCTGACGGCCAGAAACTAATTAAACGCGAAATCTAACGGCCGAAAACGTTGATGGCCTGAGAGGGCTCGCTTAGTGTTCAGTTTTAATGTATCTAAATAGCAACAAACTAAACGATCATCGTGCTAAGCTAACGAATGGGTCAAGTCAATCACATCATTCCCTAATGATGTGATCCTGTTAATCAAATGACAACTCATGTTTATGACTAGAAAACTTAACCATCTTTGATTCAACGAGCTAGTCAAGTAGAGGCATACTAGGGACACTCTGTTTGTCTATGTATTCACACATGTACTAAGTTTTTGGTTACTACAATTCTAGCATGAATAATAAACATTTATCATGATATAAAAAAAATATAAATAACAACTTTATTATTGCCTCTAGGGCATATTTCCTTCACGGACGACCCGCCGGAGTTTGGGATGCCCCGCTGCACATGCTATAAGAGGACGTAATCTACCTGAGCTACTACTTTTTCGCCTCAGTGTTTGTTTAGTAAGCACTTTGATAGAAACTAAGGGGTTATTTGGTTCGAGGCCTAATCATGCCACACTTTGTCATACAATGTTGCCACACTTGCCTAAGGTTAGTTCTTCAAAATGAGAGGCACAAGTTGGCAAGCCTAAGAGAATCTTGCCACACTTTTTAAGTGTATGTGATGTGGGATCCTAATGTGCCTTTGCTTAAGGTGTGACTTGAACCAAACACCCATTCAAGTTGGTCAAACTTGCCTAACCTTAGGTGTGGCAACCTTAGGCAAACTTAGTAGCAAACCAAACAACCCTTAATAAATCAAGATGGAGGTAGTCCCAAACCAAACAACCCTTAATAAATCAAGATGAAGGTAGTACAATGTAGCGCTGTCTGATAGATGTAATTGTGTAAGTTACTTCCTAAAGAAATATAAGTGTTTAGATCACCAAAGGTTGGATCTACTCTCGAATTTCAGGCAGATTTGATGAAGATTTATTTACCGAGAAGCGGGTGCAGAAGAGTTAATGCTATACACACGACAAAAATGGACGACTCATAGACGATGTTTAAAATCCGGCCACACATGGGTGCATACATCAGGTACCAGCCGTTGAATTTCTGTGTCGTGCATGCGTCGGCCAGGAGAATCGTGCATGAAGCAATTTCGGGTGCAGAAAGTTGTGCAGCCCGGCTGCGGTGCGGTGCAGGAGAGACGGCTGATCGAGTCTGAACTGAACTGAATATTGCTTGTTTCCGTCCAGACCGGCTCCTCCTCCTCTTCCTCCTACCAACCCAACCCAACCCAACCCAAGCCAGCCCCAGGCCCCAGCTCGTCGCGGCTCTGACTGAATCCCCCCTTCACCACCGGACAGCTACCGCCGACGCCCCGATCCCACC